AAAAAAAAAATAGTGGGAATTAAAGAACTTATCTATCTCAGAAAAAGGAATGTTTATCAACATCACTAATCATCATGGAAATGCAAATCAAAAGCACAATGAGATATCACCTCACACATGTTAACAAAAAGACAAGAGATAGCAAATGCCAGGAAGTGGAGAAAATGGAACACTTGTATACATTGTTGGGAATGTAAACAGGCACAGCCACTGTGGAAAACAGTATAGACTTTTCTCAATAAATTAAAAGTAGAACTACCATACGATCCAGCAAACCCACTTCTGTGTATATATCAAAAAGCAACAAAGTAATTATTCAAAGAGATACCTCTACTCCCGTATGTATAGCAGTATTAATCACAACAAGCAAGGAATGGATATGACCTACGACCTACGTGTCCATCAACAGATGGATAAAGAAAATGTAGTAGATATATAAAATGCAATATTATTCACCCTTAAGAAAAAAGAAAATCATGTAATATTTGACAATATGGATGAATCTGGAGGGTATTATGCTAGTGAAATAAGCCAGAAAGCCAGACAAAGACAAAAAATGCATGGTTCAATGATATGTGTAATCTAAAAAACAAAACAAAAAAGTCAAACTCATAGAAACAGTAGAAAGATGGTTGTCAGGAGCTAAGATGAGGAAAATAGGAAGAGGTTAATCAAAGGGTACAAACTTTCAGTTATAAGATGTATAAGGTCTGAGGATCTAAAGTAAAACATGGTGACTATAGTTAACGATGTATTGTATAACTGAAATTTGTTGAGAGACTAAAACTTAAGTGTCCTCATCCTCCCCCCCTCAAAAAGATAAATACATGAGATGGATGTGTTGATTAACTCAATGGAGGGAAAACCTTTCAAAAAAAAAAAAAAAAACATATATATAGAAAAATCATCATGTTATATAATTTAACTATTTTATGATTTTGTCAATTATACCTCAATAAATCTGAAAAAATAGAACATTTAAAATGCCATGTTCTATGATACTTAGAATATTAGACCCTTTAAAGCATTAATTTAACAGGATGCATTTCTTACATTTTTATTTTTAAGATCTTCATTTCTGCATGTTTGGAATAGCCAGCTCTTGGGGCGCCTGGGTGGCTCAGTTGGTTGAGCGACTGCCTTCGGCTCAGGTCATGATCCTGGAGTCCCGGGATCGAGTCCCGCATCGGGCT